TGCAGTAAAAGCAAACTACTATCCATTGGGCTTGAGAGTGGCTATGTTTTTGAGTATTTCTGTTAACTGTTGGTATTGACTCATCTAAAAATCTGTGGGTAAGTAGCCCAAAATAAAGAGTCTTGATGTATGTGAAACCTAAAATGATGATTGGTATGATTATGTATTTCTTTTTTTTATTCAATGAGCTGTCACTGAGAATTGGCTTTGGGCAACAACACTGCTGGAGAGAAGACAAAAATGAATAAGACATAGGCTTACTATCTTATATTGGGAAGACATATACACAGATATCTAGACTATATAACAATTATATACTGCTAACCTTACCATGAGAACCGAACATATAGATACTGATTCATTTAGCCCTTCCAATAACCAAGAGAGTTAGATGATAGCCTGGTTTTTACGTAAGGCACCCAAGGCTCAGAAAGGGTTAATGATATGTCTAAAATTACTCATTTAGTAAGTGCTTTATTCCAGAATCTATATGCTTACCCATTATGCTTCATTACTTCCTAGTTCAAGAGGGTGTGAATTAGATGATAGAGGTTCAAACAAAGCAATCCATGGACCCAAGAAGTGGCAAACTGCCCCTTGGTGCCCAGTAACAGGAGAGTGTAGACTTTGAAGTTGGACAGACCTGAGGAAATGGTTTGACATCTGTTAGTCTCAGTTGACTCGTCTATAAAATGGAGGTGATCAAAGAATAGGCTCTGCCTGCCTCATAAATATGAGGATTAAATAAGGTAATACATTCAAAGCACTTAGGAAGGTACTCAATGCATAGCACTTGCACAATAGTTTTAGCTACCATTACTGCTGTTATCATCATCTGTGGGGACAGGCAGAGAGGAATGGGTTGCGACAAGAATGCACTCTGAGGCTTCAGTGGCTAGACCTGTGAGTTGAAAGTTGATTTTGAAACCAAAAGAGCTCAGTGTAGAGATGTCAAATCAAAGTCACTGAAGAGTTTCCTTGCTTGACAAGGTGGAGTTTGCTGTTACCTTAGGGCAAGACATGTCTCTGAAATACTCCACTAGAATGAACTTCATACCTGGAAGGCATAACCTCAAATCACTATCATACATCATCTCCCCAGATCAAGTGCATTCATCAGATTAACCCCAACAAATATTAGCGCCTTGGGGTAAAAAGATAGTGAGCAGTTTTGCTGGTTACTAAGGAGACAGATATGGAGGGAACGGGGCAAAGACAGATCCCTTCCCTCTTGATCAGTTCCTGGAGGCCAGAGGCCAGAATCAAAAGTGGGGAGAGGAGCAGGTCAGGCAAAGGAGAAAACTAGCATTGTATATGCAACTACTGTAGAGGGAGCCTTGCTAAGTACTTTATATGCATTACCTCATTTAACTGCTCAGTTATAATGTCTTTGCTCCTGCTGCTGTAACACAATATCTAAAACTGAGTAACTTATAAATAGTAGAAATTTATTTCTCAGAATTATGGAGGCTGGACAGTTCAAGATCACAGATATACACATACGGATATATATATATATATATATATGTGTGTGTGTGTGTGTGTGTGTGTGTGTGTATCAGTAGCAGGTGTGTAATATGTGTTAGGCATGATCCCTCTACTCAAGAGGCTTAGGTAAGGGTATTGCAAGTTCTAGGCCAACCTGGGCTGTACAGTGAGGTACTGACTCAAAAAGAAAACAACAATAAAAACAACATATTGCAGAGAAGCTGTTACAGTATGAAATGTGTGCCAGGCACTGTGCTTGGTGCTGTAATTCTGGTGATGCTCAAATGTGGCCAGTGGAACCACATAGGAAAAATGGTCATATCATTATGATAATGGGATATATGTGGGAACCTATGAGGGGTTCAGAGTTGTTTTATGTGCTTTGATTCCAGTGGTGGTTGGTCCTCTCTGTGGCAGAGCAGCAGATCCACAAAACATGTGCAGATACAAAAATGCTACCAGCATTCCTCCAGAGTAGCTGCCATTGAAAGCTACATTCACTGCTGTCACAAAGAGGGTAAAGTCACTATCAGCAGGGAGTGGCCTGGGAAAGAAGGAAGATGAGATTTTGGCTTGGGGACTAAAAAAAAAAAAGATGCAGTTCTTTAAATCTTACATTAAATGAATACCATCATTGGGCTGGAGTGGTTAAAAGCACTAACTGCTCTTGTAGAGACCCGGGTTTGGTTCCCAGCACCTGCATGATGGCTAACAACCATTCATAACTCTTGTTCCAGGGGATCTGATGCCCTCTTCTGCCCTCTGCAGGTTTTGCATGACATGGTGCACTTGCATACATGCAGGCAAAACACTCATACACATAAAATTAAAATAAAAAATTTTAAGAAACGAATATCAATTTATTGTCACTTTGCTTTCATTTATATTGGTTTGATTTTGTGTTTTTCTCTAACTTTGCACATTTTGAAAAGTAGATGTATTTTTGTCCTCTTGCCACTGTGACCCTGACCAAAAAAAGCAACTTATGGAAGGAAGGATTTATTTTGACTCATGATTTGAGAGGGTTATGTCCATCAGGGCAAGCAAAGCATGGTGGAGGTAATGACACTGGGACTCCTCACATCTCAGTGGGCCAGGAAGCACAGGGAGAAGAATGCTGATGCTCAGGTGGCTTTCTACTTTTAGCCTTTCTATTCAGACTTGGATCCTAGCCTAGGAGATGATATTCCATATTCAGCATGCATCCCCCCCTTTATTACATGTCTTTGGAAATGCTGTCAAACACATGCCCATAGGTGTGTCTTCCAGGTGACTGCAGATCCAGTCAAGTTGACAATGATGGGAAGAAGGGCAACAAGAAAAGGAAGAATGAATAAGCTCTTTAAAACGGAGCCATCCAATAGAAATTCCTGCAATAGTTGAAGGCAACTGTTCTATGCTGTCTAGCACAGGAGCTACCAGCCACATATGGTTACTGAGCAACTGATATGTGGCCAGTGTGGCGAAGGAATCGACATTTTAACTTCATTTAAAATGTGGTTAGCAGCTATTATATCGGAAAGTATCATCCTAATAGCAATGGCCGTGCACACCATAAAAAAAGGTGCAATTAAATATGAAAGCTTCTATTAACCTAGTTATGGAAGAAACTTATTTGGGTGAGCATGGGCTTGGTCATGAAGAACTGGAGCAACGTTTCCTAAAAATGATGCTGTAAGGGCTTATTCCCAATTTTGTACTATTTTCAGGCACTCGGCTTCATTTGTTGTGACAATATAAAATTCTGTCAGCAGGTATTTCTTTGACATGGAAGCTAAGGGTATGGATGAGTGGTAGACTGCTTGCCTTGCATGGCCAAGGCCTTGGGCTCCACCCCCACCCCCAAACACACATTGTGTGACTCTACATATAGCACCCTATCGTGCCCATATGACCTAATAAGTCTAAGTGATGTCAGCAATGTCCCATAGCAGGTAAGTCTAGAAGACAATGTTTCTCCTTCTCATTGGACTACTCTTTCCAGTAGGAAAGCAAAAGAATTATGAATGACATACTGCCCATGCTGTTTGCTCACATACCTCACATGAAGAGATGTTTTTCTTCCTATTCCTTTTTCCTACTTGATGTGGCCAGTGGGATCACAGGCCATTAACAAGAGCCCACCCTGTCTTATTCCCTTCCCACTCCTGTAATTCATCTAAATAGTTCATTTGCATATTCAAATCATATATACAGCATCCATCATGTCTGCGGCAGTATTCTGGGTCTGGGGATGCATTCATGAGAAAAAGCAATGGTCACTCTCTTGTTGAGGTGACAGTTCTCGTGGTGGGAGACTGATACATAAAATATATATACTGGAGTTCTGTAACATTTCAAAGGTATTTCATAGCAATATATCGTGGTCTTTCGTGGCTTTTTTGGCACACAGAAACACTGTACAACGAAGCTTTAGTGTACATCTGGATGTACACTCCGTTCAAACTGCCCCGGCAGGCAGCAAGGTGGAAACACCTTTTGATTCCTTCTTTTTAACATGTGTTGAGTGCCACCTATGTGTAGATCGTGATATTGGGGACTTTGGAGAGATCCAGAAGACTGAAACGATAGGGTCCTGTCTTAGGGGGTTCCCAGTTTGAAGCAAGAGGCAGTTCATTTCTTTGGGAACCCCCAAGCTGTAGGAGCTAACAGTCTAATCTAGAAAGGCAAATAACTCCAGGGCCCATGTATAATGGGGAATTCCAGTTGTATGTAAATCAAATCCAGCAGCGTCTGAACAGAGTTGGAACTCCCTCTCCCGTGATAAGACAAAACTAGGTAGTGGCAGCTCCAAGCAGCAAGAAAGGGGGATACGGTAGAATCTGTAGAATGTCCCAACAAGGAAGAGGAACCTAGGGGCAGCCTCTCCTGGGAGTCGGGGTGGCTTTGGGGTTTTGGTGGACTTTTGAGGTTTTGCTGCAAGAATGAAGGGCTCACTCACAGGGCCAGTCCAAGGTAGAGGGTAAGAGAAATGAGGGTGCTAGGCATTTCGTGAGCCTTATGTACACCGCTCATTCGAATTCAGTAGATGATGCGGAGGAGGGAGAAAGTCTTGACCAAACCCCTACGTGGGGATGCAGAGTGGCCAGGAGGTGAAACACGGTCTGGGTCAGAGGTAGAGGGAGAGTTGTGGGGAGCCCAGATGGGGTCTTTTCCCAAACACCCCCGCTTTCCTGAGAGCTGTTAAGGAAGTCAGGTGAGAAAGGGTTAAGCGTGCCCCTCCACCGCTCCAAATGCTTCCTGTGTTTAAAATCCTTCAGGTCTCGCAAACCCTCTGGACCCAGGCCAGGCGGGCATTGTCTGGGAGCAGTTGTGGGCTGTCCGAGCAGCCGCTTAGCCTTTGTTGTGGGGCCACCTCGGGGTTCCCTCTCGCGCCCTGGCGGGGGCTGCCGAGTGCCTGCCGGAGGGGGGTGGTGCGGGAGGCTCGCTCCCTCCCTCTCTTCCTGCCCCCCTTTCAGCCCCGCCGATGACCACATGACCAAGTGGGCTCGGGGCCAAACCACAAGCTACAAAATGCAGCCCCCGAAGTGAGCGGGCAAGCATTCTCTTTGGCAGTCTGGACCAACAGGCCGTTGAGAGTCCCGGGCCGCGCATAGCCCCGGTCACTTGGAGACAGCCTTTGCCGCTGTCCCCGAGCCGCCAAAGCCAGCTTCCAGGCGCTGCCGGCAGGGAAGAGGTTGTTGCAGGACCGTGGAGGCTGCGAGCAGGCGCCGGGCGGGCGGCCAGCGACGCGGCTGGAACGTGCACCCTCCAGCAGCCCGGGAGCCACGCGAGCTCCACGCTCGCACGCATCAGCCGCGGCTAGCGCCTTTCTTCGCGTCCTGCGCGCCCGGCCTCTCCGCCCACCCGCCGACTCTTCACCACCGGGGAGGACCGAGCGGCAGCATGAATCTGTGGCTCTGCGTGCAGGCGCTGCTGCTGCTGCTCTGGCTCTCCTTGACCGCAGTGTGTGGAGGTGAGTGCTCGCCTTCCAGCTCGCCCGGGCTTCCTGAATCCTCTCCACAGCAGCAGCCGGGGCGCTCCTCTCCATCCGCCCCACGCGCACTCTCCCCGCCTCCCTGGAAACCCGGCGCGAGCCGTGCAGGAGCAGCCACGCGCCAGCCGCACGGGGAGGCCTATTGACAGGGCGCCTGGGGCCAGGGGGTGGCGTACCGCAGGCACTGTTTCCTTCCGGGACGTGGGGTAGCTCGGTATCGCCTTGGACATCACCAGTCGGTGCCAAGACCCTCCTGAACGCCCCTTGGAGTCTAAGGAGCTCAGGGCCACAGACTTGCACCCTTTATCCTGCACTCTGCACCGCACGTGGTATTGGGGAGGGGTATGGGGTCGTGTCCAGCTCCCCTCGTGGACCCAATGGGGCAAGTGACCGGAGCTGAGTGTGCTGGGCTCCACGTTGAAGGTCTCTGGCTCTTGGAGTTTAGGAGTTGCTGGCCAGGGTGATGTGCCAACATGTGGACGTGACACTTGTTGCATAGGCAGGAGTACTCTGTGGGGGCGAAAGCAGTGGTTACCCGGATCCCAGCTGTTGCTCCTTTCGGCCTGCCTGTGAGCATAGGCAGCCTCCCTCAGGCTGGGCTGGGCTGGCCTGGACCGGGCCAGGCTGGTCTTCCCTTACTCCAAGGTCTTGTATAACCTTGTCCCCTGCTCCAGCATAGGATACCTGGCTCACAGCCTGTATCTCACTCTCCAGAGACTTGGCTCTTCTGTATCATGGCCTTCAGCCTCCACTCTGCCCCAGGTATGATTTTGGTCACCCATCTTCAGGCACCAAGAGGAAACACAGGCACTTAACCAGCAACCTCCATGCAGCTAAGGGAAGGGGAGTCCCTTTGACCCTGTGTCAGACCCTCACCTGTCGATTCTTGGAATTGGTGCTCCTTTGCCTGTCTCAGTCCCGGTCCTCACCGATGCCCCTGTCCAGATTGCCAATCCTGTGTGCATCAGTGTCTCCTGGGACTGCCCACTCCCACCTTCAGCTGCCACAGTCCTGTGATCTGGCTGTCACTACTGCCTACCTGGCACAGCAGAAAGGGAAGGCCAAGACCAGGTAGACAGATGCCAGTGTCAGGGCTGCAGTCACAGGGAGGTAAGAGTGGAGAGAACATGGTAGTGAGTTTCCTAGAGGAAGGGCACAGGGCCTTCCCTAGTTCGAAACCCTGCAGAACAGGAGGATGGCCCTATGGGATTTTGACCAACTCTGCCTGTCTCTCTTTGTAGCCACCTCCTTTCTATGGTCTTGTTCTTTGCATTGTCCTGTACTCAGTGCATTGTCTGGCTTCTCAGGAAGGTACATCAGCTGGGTCTGGTGCCTCCTACCTTCAGATAGCTGTCCAGTGGTCTCCTTCTTCAAGACCCCAGGATGGGCCCAGCCACCTCCTCGGGAAGAAGGGAGCAAGCTTTTTCCTCAGAAACTCCTGTTAGAAAGGTAGTCTCAAGAAGGGAGCAAACACTGTAAATACAGACACAAATGGGAGCCTGCTCCTCCACCCTGGAGCTTACATATCCAGTATGGTTGGTGAGACAAGACAGTCTCATGAGACCACTCAGGCAAATAGTCCAAGGTGGTGCCTTCAGAGAAGAAAAAGTTGGTACAGAAAGGGTACCCCAGAAGAAGCTGGACCATCTGAATCTGTATACTTTTACAGGGGCTACAAGGGAGACTTTTAGGGCAGTACCGGTAAAAGGGAAGGCTGATTTCAAGGAAGTTGTCCAGGCTGCCAGAACACCTTGGCTTTCTGGTCCAGACCCTGAAACTTCTTGCATTGATTCCCCCTTTTACATTAGGTCTCGTGCATGCCCTGATGTAGGTGTAAGCATCACCTTCATGTTTTATTCAAGACTAGCATTGGGTGCTTCTAAAGCTTCCACTGTCTTTCTACCCTGACATCTCCTGGGGCCAAGGAGGGCACCTCTTTGGATGTGGCCATCAGCCTAAAGTCCAGGTATACATGTTCTGCTTTGCCTGCATCCTGGCCTAGGAACATGGGCCCTCCAACTGCCTTATCCTTAGCCCAGATGCACATGAGCGCTCCACAGCCAGAACCCCCAAGTTCCATGCTTCCTTTTCTCTCCCCACATTCTGTCCTGACTTGGAATGTTTACCCTTCTCCTTAACCCCTCCCCAAACCACAGACTTCCTCCACTGCCTCCTGACCTGGGATACACTTTGCTCTTCTGAGTCTGAGAGCTGCTGGGCCTGAGCCAAGTGTCCCTTGGTCTCTGAGCAGCTCTTTCTCTCCTTCTCTCCCTTGCCAGCTTCTGCTCCAACGTGCAGTCACAGTGACACTGTAAGAACTGCCTACTGTTGCCCTCCCACTGGGTGGGGGAGGCATCTCCACTCCATCCCCAATGCTAACCACTAAGTGGCCATGAAACCTGAACCAGACCTGTCAACAGCAAAGGAATAAGGCTGGTCAAGTGGAGGGCCAGGCTGCCAGAGCATGATACGTCCAGGGCAGCAAAGTTGGCACCAGAAGACAGCACAGGGCTCTGGAGAAGGTGAATGTGACAGCAAAGAAGAGGGTTTTGTATTCTAGAGATACATGCAATACCACATGCATGGGGCCAGCCACAGTATTAGAGAGTAGTAGAGAGAGTACCACCAGTAGGGTCCCCACCAGAGCATAGGTGTGGACTTTTAAAAGCAATCACAAGACAGACCAGACCCTGAGCAGAAAAACAGGTACACCATTCCGAATGAGGCTGGCATGTTCCTGAAAAGTTGCACTGATTTCTTTTCTGTGCCTCAGCAGTGCCAGAGTTCAGGAGGCAGGAAAATCAAATCCTGTTCTTCCTCTGGCTGTGGTTCCCCAGTGTGGAGATGCTGTTGCCTCACTCTGGTGAACAAGGGCTCCACTCCTCTTGGCTTGGAGTTCTCTTGGAAGTGGCTCCTACTTCCTTTTAAACAGAAAATTAGCTGGAAGGAAATATTGAAGTGTATTGGGGATATTCCTCATTTCTAAAGGGGGGATGCCTTTTGTAGAGCCAGGATCTCTGCAGTGATGAGAATCAACAGCCTCTAATTTGTCCTTTCAGACAGGACAAAGGCAGGGTTTCAGGTATCAGCTTATCTGACCAGACACTGCATCAAAAGTAGGAAGCATGTGGGTGATGGGCTCAGAGTGCAAGAGATGACCACAGAATTCCTGTGATGAAGAAGACAATGAACCCTCCATCCAATAGGATGGAAGAGGATAGGGCATTTGGGTGGCTGCTCCCCCAGGCTTGGCTGAGACTCAGTGAGCTCAGGGTGGATCTTCTCTGCAGGTCTAGAGTTTAGACATCTTCTTGGCCTCTCAGCCACTGTCAGTCTGTTTCTCATCCCGACTCTTGACCTTCCTTTCCACAGGTCCCTTCCCCCCAGTCCTCCATTCTTGACCTCCACTGACACTCAGTCTCAAGGCCATGAGCGCCTGGGGTTGATGCTCTCTCCCTTGTGGCACCACACCTGTTTTCCCCATGTTCATTATACCCCTAGGATACAATGGCCTGGACCGTTATCACAAACTCAATAGTTGAAGGCATAAAAGTGAGAATCAAGACTTCACTTACATTTTCAAGGCTCCTAGTGCCCTTCCTCTATGCATGGGCACAGTCCTTACCACCCTGTACCACAAATGTCTCTTGTTCTGACTCCTCATCAACATCACTCAGAGCCACCTTCAGGGCTCACGGTGAGCCTTGATGGGATCCTAAAACTCAAGACATCACCTGGAGCAACTGGTGGGAATGTAACAAAAGTGCTTCCTTAGCCCCTTCAGATGGGGCAAGAGGGAAACTCTAGATCAGTCAGACAGAAGCAAGCCCTCACCCTTCTCATTGTCATTCCTCTTCCTCCAAAGTGCTAATATCATTTTTACTTTAATTTCATGGGTAATGGGTTTAGGGGCTCAGTTGACACATTAACACACCTTAACCATGATCATGGAAGTGTAGCAAGTTAACCCTAGTAAACCCATGGGCTTTAATGGGCCTGGTGTTTTTTGCTTTTGTTGTTGTTTTTCTTAAGAAGGGAATGAAGGTGTAGGGTTAGAGAATATGTGTATGTGGTGTGTGGGGGGGGGTGGCTGGGAGTGGGAAGGAAAAATAGCAGGGCCTGGAGCCTGGGCAAAAAGGGCTTCAAGGACAAACCTTGCCCACTTTTGGCCCAAGAAGAGACTAACTGCCTGGAAATTGCGTACAAGCAGAGGAAGACTCACAAGAGCCAAGGGGCCATGGAAAGAAGCAGAGCATGGGGGTGTTGGAGGCAGGGAGGGTTGGGGGAAGGAGAACTAGCCAACTGGAGGCTATATGGAAACTGTGAGCCAATGGTGAGGCTCAAGTGACAGGGATATGGCTGAAGGCAGATCTGATGGTGTGCAGGGAACAGAGACTAGTATTCATTATCAGCCTCAGACAGTGCTGTATTTTTGCAGGCCAGCCCCATACCGGGCATTACATAAGCATCTGTCCTTTTGCCTCTTCCCCAGCACCATCTCATCTCCCCGTACTGTCTGCTTCTGGTGGCTAGGAGCATCTTTGGGTGCCATCTCTGTTTCCCTGGCTAGACTGCAGGCTCTGTAAGAGCTGGCGAGTGTGCCTTCACCCCATCCTGCCCAAGTATATCCTCCACACTTGGATTCCATTGTCGGAGCTTAGAGTGGCATCAGGCAACTTCTCTAGGCTAGATGTGGACAAATGTGGAGAGGGGCCTGGGAGAGTAGAAGCAAAGCCAGGTGGGGTTGGAATGGAAAGACTATACATCAAACACAGAATAGGAGGTGTGATCTAGAAACATGGAAGTAGATTGGTGGGGAGCTGCCAACCTGAACAGCTCACTCCTCTCCTATAGCATAGGCACAGTGCTACAAGTGATGGGTCCCTCATTCATTCTCTTGTTCATGTAATATTTATTAGCCTGTCAGTGTGGTCACAGACTGAACAGAGCCCAACATAAAGCAGGCTGAGTCAGTTATGCCCCAGCCACACCCACCAGGAAGCCTTAGGAGACTGAAAGAGCCTCAAAGACACCCAACTACTGATGAGATGCCCAAGGGGGACAAATGAGGGCCCTAGCACACAGAAGCGGATCACTCTGCCTATCAAAGGAGGTAGGTCTATAAGGTGACATGGTGTTCCGGATTTGTTTTAAAATATTGCTGCCAAGGGGGAAAAAAAGAACAAGTGAAGCATATATGATTCCAGCCAATAACTGTGACATCTGGGCCATGGGTCCATGAAGGGCATCATTGTGATGCTGGATATCTGCAGGTGTGCCGTTGAGATCATTGTCTCCTGCACCCCAGCTTGTAGGTTTGGTGCTCCAGAGTGCACCGCCCTCCCCTTAATGAGTTTCCAAAGGAAGAGCTTGTTGGTGCCTGTCAAATAAATACATGATACAACTGTCCAAAGAATATAAAATTAGCTTCCTCTAGAACAGTGTGCAAATGGTACATTTTTTTCCTCAGGGCACAAAAGGAAGAAAATTATGAGGAGCTCCACCTCGTGGAGAAATTGCACCATCCTATGGGCCTGTGGTCTCCTGCGTTGACTCCACCCATCTTCCTGGATAATAGGTTTTCTCTTCTTTGCAGTGCCACTGATGCAGCCTCCAGATGGGAAAGGGCTGATGGAAGGCAACGTGCGTTACCTGGTGAAGCCCAGAGTTTCTAGGACTGGACCAGGGCCCTGGCAGGGAGGCCGGAGGAAATTCCGCCGCCAGCGTCCCCGCCTCTCCCATAAGGGCCCCATGCCTTTCTGAAGCAGGTATTAGAGCCCCTTGTCAGTGGGTAGCCCTCAGGGGGAGGGACAGCCTAGAAGCTAGTAACCCCGCTTCTTATCAAAGGCCAGACACACCAGGTCCTAGAGCTGTCTGGGAACTTGTGAAGTATTCCTCTCATGCCTCCATTTTACAGGGGAGGAGATTAAGGCCCAGAGAAAGGTTTGGTGCTTGGGGCCAATCTCCTGATCCCCTCCCAAGAGCTGGGTGTTATTTCTCTGTTCTGCTGCCTGAGATTGAACAAGCTGGTGCCACTGGAGAGTTCTGGAAGTCCTAACAGGCCTTGGGTTAGGGAGGTGTGCCCAGGACATGCCTGAAGATATCCAGTGTGCACTCTGCTCAGGTCCAGCATGAATGGGAAGGCAGCAGAGAGCCTTGGGACTGCCGCACAGGAAACAGGGAGAGGGGTGGCAGTTGAGTGCATTCTAGCTGGCCAGAGTTGGAAGAAGCAGGGAAGAATTAAAGGTGGTGGGGTTGGGGGGGGGTGCCTAGCCTGCCCTTGAGGCCTGGCCTGCTTCTCCTCCCACTGTGACTAGAAACTAGGTGTGCCAACTCAATGACTTGCGGGTTAGGGGTGGGTTGGGAATGTCTGCTGATTCCTCTCCTTTCCTAGAGGGGGAGAATGCCTTTGACCTAGGTCATATTTGTGACTGCACTCTTTATCATTTTTGTTTATTTAGGACTGAAGAGTCTCCGAGCGCCTGCCCCTGCCGTTCTCTCTACTCCACAGACTCATTCTCTTCTCTGGGGCCCTCACATCCATTCAGCTCACATCTTGCACCTGTTTTAGCTGCTGGTCGTCCCAGCTCTTCTCACCCACCAAGTTCCTCTAAGGGCGTGGCCCTGCCCCTCATTCGGATGATTCCATTTCTCTCACAAGGATCCACTCGCCACGTCTTCCTGGCAACTCCTTGGACTGCCATTGGAGACTCAGCTGCTTCTCGGAGTGCCCCATGCTCTAGTCCCTGTCCATTGGCCTCACCCTTTTCTTCTCATATCTGCCCTGGAAACTGGGTAGAAACATTCCTTTCTTCAGTGGGCACATCCATACTTTGTTATCAGTTGGACCCCTTGCTTGGTCTCCAGAGAAGAATACAGAGATGTGCAATGAGAGATTGTGGTTGAGGGGGGCTTGGAGTTGGGATCCAGAGAGGGTATACTGGGGGACATTGAAGGGGTATGTACCTTGGTGAAGGGGTGAAGAAAAATAATTGAATAATTGCCATGGCCTCTTCCTCAGCTCTCTTTGGCTTTGTTAAGGAAGAGGCAAAGGAGAGAGGCCCATGAAGTACTTTGTCACTGTGTCTCCTAACACCCCCCACTTCTCTCTACCCCACTCCAGCTAGTTCAGTTTCTAGATCAGAAGGGGAGAGTGCTGAGCTGTGTTACTCTCCTGGGAGTAAAATCCAAGGAGGAGGGTTGTTTTGCCAAAAAAAAAAAAATCATAGAAAGTCAGTGCCCAAAGGACCCTTGGAGATCACTTAACTCAGCTTCCTTATGCAAAAGCTTGCACAAACAGGCCTGGAGAGAGGAGTGACTTGCTCAGAGCCACTGAGTAGCCCGAATGGGGACCAGGTCTCTCAAATCCCACTTTATGATGTCCTCTTCCCTCTTGATGATGTCTTTTTAAAGCAAATGAAGTGCCTTTTGCTGGGGTTAGTGCAGGGGGTGGCTGGGAAGGGAAGGGAAGGGAGAAGTAAACTGGCTATGAACCTCCTTGTATGGGGATAGAGCTAACCCCGCCTCCCTGGCCCTCCCATGTCATTCCATTCCCAACCTGGCCTATTCTATAAGTAGAGAGCTGTACCTCCAAGCCCCTGGTCCCAGCATCACTCCCAGGCTCAAGCTATTTTAGTTGGGATGCTCAGGCACTGAGACTACCATTTAGCCCCTGATGCTGGTTGTCATGAGCCCCTATGTTGACTGGACCCTTGTTCTAGTGACTTTTTTCAGGGGCTGGTCAAACAGCAGAGAAGGGGGAGGAAAAGAAGGAGAGGAGGACGGAAGAGGAAGGAGAGATGGGAGAATGTGCAGGTGGCATACGTCACTCCTCCAGGAGGCCCCATTTTTCTCAACAGTGCCAGAGGCCTCTTGCAGCCCTTCTAGGAAGGGAGACCCTCTCACCTTTTGCCCAAGCATGTGTCCTTCTCAGTGGCCTTCTATGAGGAAGAAAAGGGAAGACAGAAGACTGATGTCCACTTACAGATGGGTGGGGCAAGGGGAGTCAGGACCCCCAAGGCCCATAATAACCCCAAGTTTGCCTGTCCACCTCCCCCAAAGTCATTTCCTTTCCCTCTCCTGCTGCTAATGCTGCTGCTGCTACTGCTACTGCCTCAAAGCCCACCCTGGGGAGCTGGGCCAGGCATAGCTTCCCCACTCCTTGGGCTTGAAGTGGGGGCTGGCCGGTGCCTTTTCTGCTGCTGGTACCCCCACAGGGACCGGCCTTCTTCCTCCTGTCCTTTCTGTATCTCCTGTCTCATCAGCCTGCCATATCATGCAGCCAAGCCCAGTCCCCAGCCCCATAATGAAGGGGAGAGAGGGGAATGGCAGCTGAGAAAGAGGGGAGATAATGGAACAGAGGAGTGAATGGGCCAGGTGGGCTGTCTTATTTAAAGTGGTTGTGTATGATTCTTATACTAATTTATACAAAGATATTAAGGCCCTTTTTGTTAAGAAACTGTCCCCATAACTGTGTTCACTATGTTTGTAAAAATTGTTCTGTGTAAATATGTCTTTATAATAAAGAGTTAAAAGCTGACTGTTTGCCCTTGCTCTTGGAGGTCATGATCAGGAAGAGTGTTCCTTTCCCCCTAGGGTTATGCTTGTCCCTGTGCCCACAGATCGCACGTGTAGGGAGGTAAGTGCTTGCATCCCAAATTGGTTCTAGGTCAACTGGCCTCAAGCACACAAAGGGACTCTAAGCTGAAGGGCCACGTTCACATAAATTTCAGCCCACTTGTAAGTCTTTTGGCATCTATTTGAATGTCCTTGTTTTGGGCGGGCAGTGTCATTTAAGAATTTTTCAAAAGCAATTGATTTAAGGACAGGCTGGTCAAAGATGGAATTTCTACTAACATTTGTCTTGTACGCTTGGTGGGTGTCTTCTATTTTATCTACTTTAGAACACTTTCAGGACTTTTTAGCCAGTTTGTCTTTCTTGAAAAATATGTTTTCAGCAATAAATACATTTGGTAATGACTTTGTTTGTATCATTTTATGTTTCACAAAGTGGAGTTGCTTGATGAATGAGATAGCCTGAAAAATAAAATGTAAGGGGTTCAATACAATTGTGCCCCATCTGTCTCACTTTTTCATGCTTGTTGTCAAAATGCCAATGTCTTGCAGAACATATAGGAACACTGGCCACATGCTAATTTGGTTAATAAACCCATTAGGTGCACACAGGAATATACAATGCAGACCAAAACCCAAAGGAGAAGGAGAAAACAGTCCTCAAAATAGATGGATTCAATAAATCTTGTGAGTTATTCTGTAGATTTGACAATTACTTAGTGCCAAAATATATAATTTTAAAGACAGTGTCATGAAACTGCTCAATAGATGATAAAATAGAAAAAGTCACCCACAACCATGTTTAACCATATCATCATTAACAGAATGCTACAAATTGTGTCATAGTGATTTTTAAATATGGCATTGTGTTGGAAGTGTCTCTTGGGAAAATGTGTTACATTGAAATTGCTAGCTTGGTGTTTAGGCAAACTAGTTATCAGAGGAACTGGGTTTAGGCGGAGCTGGGTTTCAGGTGGGCTGGCTTTACACTGATGAATTGTTACCTCCTTCACTAACCCCAGAGCTCTAATTTCACATGAAAATTAGTGGTACTGGGCAGGACAACTGAATTTTAACCCAGAGGTATGCAGAATTTTTTTTAACAGTTTACATAGCTCATTAAAAAATATTAGCTTCTGGGGCTGGAGAGATGGCTCAGCGGTTAAGAATACTGGTTGTTCTTGCAGAAGACCGGGGTTCGAATCCCAGCACCCACATGGCACCTAGCAGCTGTCTGTAACTCCAGTTCCAGGGGACCTGATGGACTCTTCTGTCCTCTGTGGACATTGCAGGACATGGGTGCACTTACATACATGCAGGAAATACACACACACAAAATAAAATATTTTTTAAAAAATTACCTTCTTAGCTGGGCATGGTTCGCGCATGCCTTTAATCCCAGCACTTGAGAGGTATAGGCAGGAAGATCTCTGTGAGATGGAGGCTGGCCTGGTTTCCATGGTGAGTTCCAGGCCTGCTAAAGCTACAGGGAAACCCTGTCTCAAAAAGACCCCCCCTCAAAAAAATATTAGCTTCTTTCATCTTCTTGACATCTGAGATACAAAGATCATCATTCTATCTCTTTAAAATATATATGTATATATTTTACTTATTTTTTATTTTATGTATATGAGTGTATTGCCTGCTTGTGCGTAAAGGCACCCATGTCATGCATTGCCTGCGGAGGTCAAAAGAAGGCGTCAGATCTCCTGGAACTGGGGTTACAGACCGCTACCATATGGGTTCTGGGAATCGAACCCAGGTCTTCTGCAAGAACAGTCAGTGCTCTTAACTGCTGAGCCATCTCTCCAGCCTCCATCATTCTATCTTATAGATGAGAAAACAGGCCAAGAGACTGGACGCACTTGGCCCAAAGTTTCACAGCTTATAAGTGAATACAGAACCTACTTTGTGAATTCTAGAATGTAAACTCTGAAGAGTAGAACAGAAGGTCCCCTAGCCAGTGAGAAAAACTAAGTACAAAATGTGCCTTTCAATAACTGGAACAGAACTTTGGAGTCAAAGACAGCATGGCCTGGTGGGATCAGAGAAAGTGAAAAGAGGTTGAGTGACTAAAACTGGTCCTAAAAGGCCCAAAGAGCATATGGGAAGAGGATGGTGGATTGTAGAGGTGGGGGATAAGGAAAGGGTAACAGCCATTGGGGTGTATAGGGAAAGTGAACTAAGTACTAGTGGATGGATTCAAGCTTGTCTTCCTTGGGGCAGGAGCCATATGTAAAGATAATTGGCTCTCAGACCTAAGGAGAACAGGACCATATAGGTTGTATCCTTTGAAGATATCTTAACTTGACCAAATAAATACAATAGAATCAGAGTAAGATTGTCAAACTGTTGAGCATTCCAGGGATATCCAATCTATGGCCTTGAGCCACATGCGGCCCAGGATAACTATGACTATGGCCCAGTATAAAATTGTAAGTGTGGCCAGGCATAGTGGCACATGCCTTTAGTCCCAGCCCTCAGGAGGCAGAGGCACGTGGATCTCTATGAGATTGGGGCCAGCCCGATCCACATAGTGACTTCTAGGGAGAAGAACTGGGACTAGGGAGACCCTGTCAAAAAATTATAAGTGCGTTTAAATATTATGAGATTTCTTTTTGTAACTTGTGTGGAAATTTATTATTTGTTCTTTTTTAATATTTTATTTATTTATTTTTATTTTATGTGTATGAGTGTATTGCCTGCATGTATGTGAGTGCACTCGTGTTGTGCAATGCCGCAGAGGTCAGAAGAGGGCTTCAGATTCCCCTGGAACTGGAATTAAGGACAGTTCGTAGCCGCCATGTGGGTGCTGGGAATCGAACCCGGGTCCTCTGCAAGAGCAGTCAGTGCTCTTAACCGCTGAGCCATTTCTCCAGCCCCTATTTATTTATTTTCATGTGTGTGTCTGTGTGTGTGCATGTATGTAGGCTTGCTTGACAAGGTACATGTGTGGAGGTCAGAGGACAACTTGCAGGAGTTAGCTCTCTACTTTTACCATATGGGTTCTGAGGATTGAACTCAGGTTGTCAGGGTTGGCATCAAGTGCTTTATTAAAAATATTTTATTTATTTTTATGTGTATCTGTGTATTGCCTTCATGTATGTGAGTGCACCTGTGTGGTACAATGCCCACAGAGGTCAGAAGAGGATGTTAGATCCCATGGAACTGGAGTTACAGACAGTTATTAGCTGTCATGTGGGTGCTGGGATTCGAACCCCGATCTTCTGTAAGAACAGCCAGTGTTCTTAACTGCTGAACCATCTCTCCAGCCCAGCAGCAAGTGCTTTTAACTGCTGAGCCATCTTGCTGGCCTGGTTGTGTGGGTCTTGGGTATGAATTTTGTAGATGACAATGTCACACAAAATAAAGTTATTTGCTTTCACAGCCTGCAAACCATAGTTTGTATATCTGCTAGACTAATCAACAGCAATTCACTTAACTGTTTCTGGACAAGAGACCCTGAACTGAGGAGTTGGGGTAGGCAGAGAACCTAAGAAACAACACTAATTCAAATCCATCTAGAAATTAGGCAGCCCCTGAAATGACAGATTAAGGAAATAGACTCAGGCTATGCATGACTTTTCAGGCCCCTAGGTGTAGTGTCAAATGAGCCATGGCTGCTTTGAAGTCTTCCATTTCAATTTCTTCCCTTGACTGGCTTGGGACCCCTAAATGGGGCTGAGCTTCTCTTCCTCAATTAAGGAGCCCATGGGGCTTGGTCTGAGCAGCCATTAGGAGGTGCTTATATAATGGCATTTCTCAGCTCTAAAGGCTATTCAACTGGAATTTCTCAATCCAAGGTTTCTCTCTGCCCAGATTGAACCCATGCCAGCTAACCTAACCACCAAAGAAAATGGGGGAGAAAGCTTAGTCAATACCTTCCTCTCCTGGCTAGTGGAGGCTGCTCATCCTGCCAGCATTTCTCTGGAACACCCAAAAGGAAGGCTCTCCAGGACTCCTTTGAAAAGCTACTTTTCCCTTCCTAGTGGCCAAGGCTTGGAGAGGGAGCCTGGAAGGAACTCCCCTGCTGTTACTTTGGACTCCAGCCGAGAGGTCAGAGGTGCATGTAGGGACACTTCCTTGAATGTTTCACCTCAGAGGTCAGCATGCTTTTTCTGTACAGGGTAGGGTAGTATTGTTCAACTCTGTCCCAGCTATTAATTATATCTGCCATTGTCATGCAGAAGCAGCCACAGACAACACATAAATCAATGGGAGTGGCTGTGTCCCAAGCAAATTTTATTTATAAAAACAGGTGGCAGGCCATAGTTTGTCCAGTCCTGTCTTTTTATTTTTTATTTTTGGTCTTTTTGAGACAGGGTCTCCCTGTAGCCCCAGCTGTCCTGGGACTCTCTATGGAGACCAGGCTGGCCTTGAACTCACAGAGATCCGCCTGCCTCTGCCTTCGGAGTGCTGGGATTAAAGGCGTGCACCACTACGCCCGGCACCAGTCCTGCCTTTTTAAAATTTAGTTTATTTTTATTTTATGTCTACGAGCATACTGCCTTTGTGTATGTAAGCAGCACCCATGTCATGCAATGCCTGCAGAGGTTGCAGAGGTTAGAAGAGGGCATCAGATCCCCTGGAACTGAAGTTACAGACTGTTGTTAGCCACCATGCCATTTGCTGTAAATCTAACCTGGTCCTCTGCAAGAGAAGCCAGTGCACTTAACTGCTGAGCCATCTCTCCACACCGCCCCCCTAACCCTGTCTTAACTGAAGCATTGGTAGGCCCTTCAACTCATGCTTAAGTCCTTACCTGTATCAGAGAGAGAGAATGACTTTCTGCATCCAGGTTCACAGTTAAGGAAATTTCATCAACCTGCTGTGCTAAGTCTCCTGCACCAGCATGTCATAATATTTCAACTAAGTGATTTCAGTGGAAGGAGAGGTCTTATTTTTAGATCAGGGGTCAAATCCTGGTGTATTTACTCATTGGTGTGACCTCAAAGCCAGGGTCATGGTCTGAATGAGCCCTCATTTTCCCCCTGCACTGGATGTTGCTGCCTACTTTTTGGTGCTGTGGTCAGGATTGCACACTATGATTCAGGTAAAGCGTTTGACACAGTGCTTAGCTTCTGGGACCATCAAGTGGATGTGGTTATTATTTCTACTTAGCCTCATACTTAGCCCTGAGACATGGGCGGGGAAGTCATTACTTCCATTTCATGCAGGGAAAAAAAGGCTCAGGCAAGTCAATCACTTGTTCAAGTGCACAGAGTAGCTCTACTTGACAAGTTTAGCTTCAAACCTAGGTCTAGCCTCAGCATAGGTTCACTGCCCTTCTCCCAAAAGGTTTGCTTCCCATGCCAAGCGTGCCTCGGTCATCTGGAAACTTCTACTCTCCTAGACAACACATAAGACCTCCTCAGGGACGCATTAGGCCCACAGCACTCTCTCTG